CGCCGCGACAGGCGACGAAGCATGGCCGGGGCGGGGCCGGGGCAAGGTCGAGGCAGGGCCGAAAGGGGCGGCGACGGGGCCGCAAGTGGCGGCGACGGGGCCGCTGGAGGCGGCGACGGGGCCGATAGGGGCGGCGACGGGGCCGCTAGGGGCGGCGACGGGGCCGCTGGTGGCGGCGACGGGGCCGATAGGGGCGGCGTCGGAGCCGCTAGGGGCGGCGACGGGGCCGCTGGTTTCGGCGACGGGGCCGATGGGGGGGGGGCGACGGGGCCGCGAAGGGGCGGCGACGGGGCCGCTGGTGGCGGCGACGAGGCCGATAGGGGCGGCGACCGGGCCGCGAAGGGGCCGCGAGGGGCCTGGAAGGGCGGCGATGGGCCGCTAGGGGCGGCGACGGGGCCGCGAAGGGGCCGCGAGGGGCCTGAAAGGTCGGCGACGGGGCCGCTAGGGGCGGCGACGGTGCCGCGAAGGGGCCGCGAGGGGCCTGGAAGGGCGGCAACGGGGCCGCTAGGGGCGGCGACAGGGCCGCGAAGGGTCCTCGAGGGGCCGAGAAGGGCGGCGACGGGGCCGCTAGGGGTGGCGACGGGGCCGCTAAGGGTCGCGCGAGGGGCAGTGAGAGGGGCCTCTAGGAGGGGAAGAAAAAAGTCCGTCGCACGCCACGGGGCGTGCGACACACAGAGTAGCAGCAGAAGCAGTTGGGTGGGCCCACAGGCCAGGAACGTAGATGCTCTGATAGCATGTGAAGAAACGAGGAATGAAGAAGAGAGGAGTGCACTAGCAGCAGTTGGCATACATATAGGAAACCCTAATTGGGTTGTACTCGCTATAGAGTACCCCACTGCAGGCTAGACAATTATAACATTCTGACACGCTGGCCCCTCCGTCGACGAACATTTTCAAGTTATTTTTTAACACCTTGCCAGGGACTAGCACAGGGTGATCCTCATGATTATCCCTGTTACTCGGCCGAGTGCGATCGATTGCATGAATCGGAACCACGACTCGGTGGGGATGGTGGGATTCGCGCGACGGAGCACATTCAGTAAAGGGCCCGCTAATAACTGACTCTTCCCATTTCCTTGCTCCTTCCTGTCGTTCCCCGTCAGCGGCGTTTTTTCGTGGCAGTCTTTCATGTGGTGACCCGTCTTCCCACACCGGTAACACGGTCCCTTAGGAGGGCGGTCGGGTGTATTGACAACGTTGATCGTGGCCCGATGGGTCTGGCCAAGAAAGCGGTTTCCATCCCTGGAAGCTGCTCTCGCGTACTGCATCAGCACATCTGTTGACTCCGCTCGCCGTACTGCTTCAAGAAATGATGTCGGACGGCCCTTGCAAACCTCGTACTGTATCTCGTATTTGAGGCCGCTGATATATTTATCCAACCGCTCTGCTTCTGACATGTCATCAACTTGGTCGGCGAGGCCCATAAATGACGCCATGTAGTCTTGGAGAGAAGCCATCTGCGACCATGCACGCAACTTCATGCGAGCTTGCTCCGAGGCGGATACGTGCTCGAAGCGATCTCGTAAGGCCGCGCCCCACTTCTTCCACGTGCGTATCCTTGGTCACTCCGAAGATTGATTGTGCCACTTGAGTAGTCATTGTTAAGGTCCCGTCTGCCGCATGCGTCACACCTGTCGGCGTCCCCGTTTCCAAGGTTCGGCGCCACCATTCAAGCGCTGCACGTCGAAGAAGCGAAACCGCGTAATTAATACGCGTGCCGTCGTCATTAACTCCGGCTGCAGTAAAGAAGATTTCAACCCCGAACATCCACCCCTTTACTGTAAACGTCTTGTCCGTAGGATTAAACGGGGGCGGGTTGACGGGTTGTATCTTGATCGTCGTTACTGCAGTTGGTGCTGATGCCGCTCGCTGCCTGTCTTCCTCTTTGAAGTCACGTGTGAGAGCGTCCAAGGGATTGTTCACCGCTTGACTGTTGCCCTCCAACACCTGGGCGACACCTGACGCGCTTCACCTCGCGTCTGGCGCAGCTCGGCGTTTTCTTCATGCAGTGTTGTCACTTCCACCATTAACGATTTCATGCCCCCCTGCATCTCTGCCACTTGCGCCATCAACCTGTTAACCGCCTCCTGATCCATGTGCCTAGCGCTACGTCCTGGTAGGCAATTGGGTCTCCGTGGCCTTCGGGCAAGTGAAAACACTAACTATCGGAGTCGGGCAGGATTGAATTAACAATCCCTGCGGCCAACCGTCGTGTAGTCACTAAACCAGCCACACCCGTGCCACCAAACTACCCTTGGAAAAGCGGGGTGAGCTAGGAAAGTAGCTCTGCTGTAGGTGTTATGAGTTGTAAAAGAGAGTGTGCAGGTAAACGAATAACGAGAGTGCGCAGGAAAATGCCGAAGGCGACGCGAGGAGCCTTGGTAGCGTTGAAATCGGCCGAACGTGCAAAGTCCGAAAATCGGGCTGTACGCGAAGCAGTCAACCCCAGTAAGGAATTTGGGAAAATTACTTACAGAAGTGGTGCCTATAGCGAGTAGGGCGATTTTGGCTGGAGAAAGCGGGAAAAGGGGATGGGGTGGGGGTGGTGCAATTCCGCATAGCCGTGTGTGTTCCCCCCTCCGCCCCCTTGTCCCATTTCCGAAATTCGCGACAGTCGCCTCCAGTTTGTTTACTTTCGCTGCAGCGCGACACAACTATATTCTCTCGCGATCCAATCGAAGACCCAGGTGGCACAGGGCGCGGATGTCGACATCCGCCGACTTCCATCGCGTTTCACTTCGGACACCCCCTAAGAGCATGTCCGAAGTGAAGCGTCAAATGGATGTCGATGGATGTCGGTAAATGTCAACCCTCGGATCGAGAGTTCCAACCGTCAGGATTTACCGACATCGGATGTCAACGGATGTCGACTTCACTTCTGACCCGCCCTAAAAACTTTATCGTCACAGGTCTGCCTTGATGACGACATCCACGTGACAGGGATCAAGGGCTTGGAGTTGGTGCTGGACGTGGGAGTGGGGTGGGGTGGGAGATACACCGACGTGTGTTCCCTCCCCACCACCACCCCTGATCCTCCCACGCTGTCCTTTTACAATTGCGTGGCCGTCCCTCTTGCAATCCCATGTGAGCCTGAACAGTTTTTCCAGCTGCCGTGATCAAGCAAAACGCGGCTCGGATCTTCGACTTGAGGTTGAGGGCTGATGCAAGAATGTTCAATCGTCGGAATTGAATCATGGTTCGACACGCGAGGTTCTGGCATCGTTGAGCACAGAAACAAAGTCTCGTTGTCAAATCAAAGAAGTCCCGTTGTGGACTTGGATTCTATACAGGATTGGATATTGATTCAAGCAACAGTACGCTTTGTAGCCAGGGCTCTCAATTGTGCGTAGGCCGAGAATCAGGGTGTAGACAGTTGGACCCAGCTCCTCATTCCCGGACAACATGGAGTAGTGCTTGATGCAGTATAGCACAGTACTATTCGTTATCTATTCCAACATTTGATTTGGTTGCAGCGTGATGCTTCATTTATGTATTAACGTCCCGAAGGCGCGACGCAACATCATTGAGGGAAGAGGATACAGTGCAGCATCATTCAGCGTAGCGTATTCTGGGCAGCAGGGATTGAGAGGCCAAGCACTTATGGAGCGAGTGCGCAATATCCTCCCTCCCACCCATCCCTTTTCTTCCCTCTCCCAGTCATGGAGTTTTGCGAGACGGTTGTGCACCAGTGTGGGTGATGCCTTGCACCATGACAACAGACGAGATGACGGCTGCCACCGCGAGAAAATGCCTTTTAGACACGTCATGAGACGTGAATTCATTATTATTATCCAGAAGTGAATGACGGAGAAGTTGGACTAGGATGTCAGCAAGCACTCCCTGTCAGTTCTCTCAATTCGTTTGGGGCTACCCTTTCATTTGGCAGGGTGACATTCAAACGAGCACGGCAGGTGGTCAGCAACCCAAATCCAGCACGGTATACTCAAAACTGTCCAAAAACTGCTCTAAAAAGGAGACCCTACAATGCGGTACAATGTTCATTTTCACCGCTCAAGTCTCTTTGCCCATGCCCTGTCAGTCTGGCCAAGTCAAGTGAAAGAACCGAATACGGCACTTCAGACCGTACGCACTGTAACTTCGTAGCCCTGTGAGTACTGTAGGTCTTTGATTGGCCACCCTCGTTTGCCAAGGCACGACAGCTGGCTGGTGGTGAGGTGACCTTGTCTCGGCTGGGAAGAGGAATTCGAGCCTGGCAAAAGCAGATATCCCTTCGTGGAGTGCTGGCAGCAAACGTGGGTGTGTTACCTCGTGCAGTTGTTCACAGAAGTGATGTGACGCTTGCGGGCTGTTTTGGAATCTGCAATGTGAAATGTGGAGGTTTTCACGCTAGGGCGAACTTCATCGCCGTATCCAAGGAACACGACAGAATGTGAGAAAGGTTACTTCGTACGCCTCGTCATTCATCTTAAGATAATATCTTTCAGATGGGTATGGTTCGCCAAGCCTCTCAAATGGCCCGAGGCTCTCTAAACACTAGACCATCATACTGGAAAAGAGGTAGAAACTCACAAGTGTCCTTGCACTGTACGGGCAAAAACTCAGGCCAGGAACACCTGTCACCCTCCTCCGAACCAGAAGCTGCAAGCAAAGCTGATCTGAGTTTAACCGAGCCAAGCCCAGACCAATCTGAACCACGCACGGAGCAGGCTTGCTTGAATGCTCACCACCTCACTCATCATGAGTACCACCGCAAGCAAAACCAAACCCACCTCATGCTCTTCTGTTCACCTATGGCTGCAACTCACCTGCTCCAGCCGAGTTTATAATACCACCGGTCTGGCCCTCACTTGCATTGCCGTACTACAATCTAGCTAGCATTCCGAGACGAGACGAGACGAGACGAGAACCCTTACAGACTGCCACTTCCTTGAAGTACCCTTGGGAGCCACTGATAATTGGTCGCGCTATCAGATTTCAAACTTTCCAGCCCATCCCGGAAAAGGTTCGGCTCAACTGCGACTCGATCATCTGCCATCATCATGGCTTCAGCTCCGCCGCTCGTCGTGGATTCCGAATGGGAGAACTTTCTTGAGAATTGCAGCACGGAGGAGCTTTCTTCCTTCTTGGAGAAACTGCGGTCCAACAACAGCAATGGAAACCCTCAAGTCGCGTCGCTGCCAGGTAAATGCTCGAAGCGTGATTAGGGTTAGATTTTAAAAACTTGTGAGTTTAGGGTTGAACCGCGTTTGAACCTGCAAAGGTTGTTATTCCTTGTAGCGAGCCGTGCTCTACGATCTTTTTCCTTTAATATCTAGTAACTAAATCTCTCGAACTCTCTTTCTTTCCCTCCTTTGTATCCGCGTGTTTGAATCAGCAGCGAACGGCGGCGCGGCGCCATATAGAAGTCTCGAGACCGACATCATGGCGCTAGCGGCGGCCGGCACGCCGCAAACCACGGCGCAACAGCCGCTGCAGACCACCCCGCCGCTGCAAAGCAACGGAGCCACGCCGTTCGGCACCGCGGCCTTCCCCCTGCGCGCCGCCGGCGGCGGAGCCGCATTCGACGCTCACTCGCTTGCGGCTCGCCACATTGGAGGGCTAGTAGCCACCGGAAACACCTCCGCGTTTAACTCCTCTGCTGACGTCATCTCCAGCAGCAACTTTGGCGAGAGCGCCTTCTCCGAAAGCGGCTGCGTCGGCGGCGGCGGCGGCGGAGGCGAGAAACTCAAGAACGAAATGGAGGATGGGTGGGAGTCCTTCTCACCCCAACCACGCCGGGCCGGGTCCCTGCCTGGCAGTACTAACACCACTACGCCGGCCCTGCCCGCGCCGCCTTTTCTAGCGGGTCAGCCGGCCCAGAGGCTCTTCGGCAGCCCCCCTGCTGTAACCACTGCGTCCAGGCTCGGACCCTCCAAGCTAGGAGTCGCAGCCGGCCCTGCTACAGCCGCTACAGCCGCTGCCGGCGCTGCCGGCGCGGGTGGGAGCCGGCGGAGTGGGTCCAACAGTGCCGACCGGGCGGCACGGGCCTCGGCAGGCGAGGATTCCCCGGCTCGGCAGAGCGGGAGGCAGGGCGACGCTCCGAGCGGCGGCGAGGCGGGCGGGGCGGTAGTGCAGGCTACAGGTTCGGGAGAAGCCGGCGCACACGGCAGGGAGAGCGGCGACAGGCTGGGTGATAGGCACGGGAGCGACGGTGAGAGCTCGGATGAGATGGAGGGAGGGGCTCACATGGACCAGTTTGGCGAAGATCATGCGCCGGGCCGCAACTCTCGGCGGGTGGGCGGCAGCGCAGGGGATTCCGGGCTGGGTGTGAAGGCGGAGAAGCGGCAGATTAAGATGAAGAGCCACGTGGAGAGCCAGCGGCGCAAGCGAATCAGTGATGGGCTGAAGCGGCTGCGGGACTCGGTGAAGGGCACGGGTGACACTGCTACGATGCTGGACGAGGCAGTGGCTTATGTGGAAGGACTCAAGGTAAATTCACACTCTTCCACATTCTCTTATGCTATCATGATGGCTGCTTGGCTTCGGTTGCTGTTACTCTCCTCTGCGTCTGTCGCACTTTCCTGTTGCCTTTTTGTGAGCTGGAGACACTGTTGTGCCTGTTTTTGTAATTTCCTGCTCCTTGGCTTCCTGGAACCACTCTAAACACCTCTGTTATCCACTCTCTCTGTCCCTGTGCCCTCCTGCAGCAACAAGTGACAGCCCTGCAAGTCTCTCTCCTCCTCAAGGACACAGCCCGCCCCCAGCTTGGTGGTACACCACCATCGATCCTCGGCGCTGACTCAGCACTCCTAGCCCAAGCTCTGCAGCAGCAGCACTCTCTGGGCATGCCTTTCTCCCTGCCAGGGAATCAGCAGCTGCCCCATCAGCACCAGCAACAGCAGCTGCTGCAGCAGCAGCAGCAGCAATCGCTGCAGGCAGGCCCGGGCATGTTCCAGGCTCAGCGTTATCCGAACCTGGGCCGGTACTCGGGTGAGCAAGGGGCGACGGTGTCTGCTAGTGCACCGACCACATTGCTACCCCGTGCTGGATGGTCTAAGCGGCTAGTGGAGACTTCTACGGGGGGCAGCTGCAACTCCCCTAAGTTTGGCTCTTGCTGAGTATTTGTTGGTGTGCTGCTGCCTCCAACTGCTCTGCTGCCACCCCCAACCGCTCTGCAGCTGCCTCCGACCGCTCTGCAGCTGCCTCCGACCGCTCAGCAGCCTCCGACCGCTCTGCAGTCGCCTCCGACCGCTCTGTTGCCGCCTCCAACCGCCTGCTGCTGCTTCCAACCGCTCTGCTGCCACCTCCAACCGCCTGCCACCACCTCCAGAAACTTTGCTGCAGCCTCCAACCGCCTGCTATCGTCTCCACCGCTCTGCTGCCGCCTCCAACTGCCCTTCGTCCACCTCCAACCGCTCTGCTGCCGCTTCCAACCCCTCTGCTGGCGCTTCCAACCGCTCTTCTGCCGCCTCCAACTACTCGGCTGCCGCTGCCGTCTGCTATGCTGCTGCCTCCAACCGCTCGTCTGCCACCTCCAACCGCTCGTCTGCCACCTCCAACCGCTCGTCTGCCACCTCCAACCGCTTGTCTGCCACCTCCAACCGCTCGTCTGCCACCTCCAACCGCTCGTCTGCCACCTCCAACCGCTCGTCTGCCACCTCCAACCGCTCGTCTGCCACCTCCAACCGCTCGTCTGCCACCTCCAACCGCTCGTCTGCCACCTCCAACCGCTCGTCTGCCACCTCCAACCGCTCGTCTGCCACCTCCAACCGCTCGTCTGCCACCTCCAACCGCTCGTCTGCCACCTCCAACTGCTCTGCTGCTTTCTCCAATTGCTCTGCTGGCGCCTGGTTTTGTAGATGTTCCATAACGATGGTAGTTTCTAGGTCATTTATTACAAGAACAAGCAGGTCGCCAGCAGCATTCTTTTGCTTCGTCTTGTACCCTAATTTAAATACAAATAAAGATAAAGTACCAGTTTGACACTTATATACGATTGAAGATATTCCTAACAAACACGCTCCCCTTTTCTGTATCCTGACAATAAAATCCCCTGAATTTGGTCTGATTTTCTCCTCTAGAAGACTAATAATTTTATTCCTGATGGGGTTGGGTTATCGGGTAGCTTCTTTACCACCAGACACCAACCTTGCGACCTCTTTTCGGACACAAGTCTACAACTGAATTTTGTCCGCCACTTTACTAACTTGGCAGCAAGAAGACTGCTCGGTGCCTGCAAAATCCGTACTCCTGAGATAATACCTACCGGTATGTCTCCCACCTCTCACCTTCCCCTGCCTCCACTATCCTCCTCCACCCTGCCACTCCCATCGCTCACCCCCCCCTTCCCTGCCTCGCCCATCCCTCATCCCCTCCTGCCTCTTCACATCCGTCTCTCCAACGCCCCATTTGACCGAGAGAGCAGCCCCTCCATCACCGACAGCGTGCGCTGGTCCAAACACTGGCTGTGCTGCAGCGGGCTTTTTCCATCCTTCATTCCCCCCTCCCGCTTCACATCCGTCTCTCCAACGCCCCATTTGACCGAGAGAGCAGCCCCTCCATCACTGACAGCGTGCACTGGTCGGAGCATCGGCGGTGCTGCTGGACTCCTTCTGAGACAACTCTTCATTTTGGTCTCTCCAAACCCGTGTTTGACCGCGAGAGAAGCCCCTCCATCACCGAGAGTGTGTGCGGGTCGGAACACGGCCGGCTGTGCTGCAGAGAACTTCTCCATCCTTCATTCTCTCCCCCCCACCTCTCCCTCTTTCATCTTCGCCTCTCCAAACCGGTGTTTGACCGAGACAGAAGCCCCTCCATCATTGACAGAGTGCGTGGGTCCAAACACCGGCAGTGCTGCAAAGAACTTCTCCATCCTTCACTCTCTCCCCCCCCCCGTCCCCTCTCATCTTCGCCTCTCCAAACCCGTGTTTGACCGAGACAGAAGCCCCTCCATCACTGACAAAATGCGTGGGTCCGAAACCCGGCTGTGCTGCAGAATCGCCGCCACCCGCCTCTGCCTCGCCTCCTCCCTCACCCTCTCCCGCCTCCTCCTCCCCTCCTCCTCCCTCGCCCTCTCCTCTTCCTCCTCCCGCCTCACTCCCTTCCCAACCCTCCCACATCCATCCGCCCCTTCTTCCTCCCGAGCCCCTGCCTCCCCACTCCCTACTTCGCTCTCTCCCCCCCACCCTCTCCCCCCTCGATCCACCCGTGCAACCAACAGCAAGACACATGAGACGCCAACCACAGCAGCCACCCTCCCCAGCAGCAGAAACGAAAGCGTCAGCAGCAGTAGCAGCAGCAGAGCAGCAATTTCAGACGAGCCAGCACCACCACCACCAGCAGCACCGGCAGCAGAAGCAGAAGCAGCGTCCTTAGAGGAGGACGAGGAGGAGGAGGCGGGGTATGAGGGGGTGGAAATAGGGGGCCAGGAGGAGCCAGGAGGGAGGAGAGTGATCGGCCGAAATGGACTTCGCATTTTCATGCTTCGACCAGCCAAATCTCCCATCTTAGCTCCGGTAGCGGCCAAACCTCCAATAGCTCCGGAACCTTCCGTACCTCCGTGCCTGCTTTGGCTTGCTGCCCCACCCTGTAGAAGCTGGCTGCTTGCATGCTGTGCCCATTGTACAGGTGTCAGTCTGTCATTGGCCAGACCTGCTCCTTGTGAACGGTGAGGGAGGGATAATGAGTGGTGGGGTGGGGTGAGGGGTCGCAGGGAGGCCAGACGGCCGAATCTGTTTCTGCGGCTCGATGGTGCTGCAGCCTGCCCAATATTGCCAGATCTCGCGTCCTCAGCCGTTGATTTGACATCACCTGGTGATGCTGCTGCTGCTGGGGAGGTTGCCTCTGCTGCTTCTGCTGCTGCTGCTGCAGTTGTTCCGTCCAAAACTTCCCCAGAAAAGATTGGGGCCAGCAATTCATGGGCCCCATATGTTGCTGCTGATGATGACGACGATGCTACTCCTGCTGAACCGCTCAGGACAGGCCTCTGCTCCCACGAGCTTGGTGAGAAAGGCGACATCGCATCATCCGATTCCTCCTCCACGCTACTACTGCTGCGCTCCATCTCTCCCACAGAAGCCAGGTGCGCAAACAGAGAGTCACTGCTCCACTTGCACCGCCGCTCCCTCCTCCCTGCACCCCTCCCTCCCCTCCCCTCCCTCCCACCCATCTCCACTCCCCCCCCAGCCCGTTCGCCTTTCCCCTCCCTCCTGCCCCATTTCTTGCTCCTCTTCCCCCCTGCAGCCTCTCCAGCAGGGAGGGGCGAGGGACTGGTGGCAGATGCAGCATGCAGGGAGATGGAACGACCTACTGCCAGCCGCGCTGGTCCCTCTGCGCCCACTCCCTCTATTCCACTCGCTGCGCTCGCACCAGTAGCTGCACCAGTGGCAGCCAAAGAAGTGGCAGCAGCAGCAGCGCTGCCAACGGCAGCAGCGCCAGCCGAGTCGCCAGCAGGGGCATCAGAGGCAGCAGCGAGATCGCAGCTCCTACCACCACCATCAGACCATCTCCTCCTGCTCCTCGCCGTAACCGCCGCTGCCGCCGTCGCCGCTGCTGTTGCTGAATGTGTATCCGTTGTTCGCGTCTGAGTTTCTTCTACAGAGGCCGTTGCTCCTGTTGATCCTACAGCACGCGATCGCTTGCTGCTGCTGAACAAACTCCCAATTCCTCTACCCCCTCTTCCCCTCGATGGAACAACCAAACTCTCTCCCATCCCCATTCCCTCCGCCTCATTGCCCATCCCCTCCTCTCCTCCTCCTCCCCCTCCTCCTTTTCTCTCTCCATCACTGCCACCCAACTCACAAGTTTTCTCCCTGCCCGAACCTTTTTTTTCAATCCTGCCCGACCGCCGCACCTTCCCCCGGCCGTGGAACATACCAGCACCCATAAACGCCATGGTAAATTTCCGCGCTCTCCTCGCCTGCACTACTCCGTCTGTTGACGCGCGTATCAGCTCCACCCCGCCGCGCCCTCCCTCGTGGCCTCCCTCGCGTGCGCTGCCGCTGCCGCTGCTAGTGCTGTCAAATACGTCCGCCCTCAGATGACCCTCCCCCTCGTAAGCCTCGCTACTAGCACCGACTCCAATCCCGCCGCACCCCTCGTCTAAGAGCCCCGTAAACAAACCGTTAGGAGACCCAAGCGACTCGCCTTGCCGCCGCCCGTAACTCTCGCCGCGTCCGACGGCGAAATGGAAGCTTCCGAAGGGAGAGGGAGCCTCCTCGGATCGGCAGCGCGGGAGGGAGTGACCAAGGTGGACGCCGCTCCTTCCCATGCCGCTGTCGCATCTCACTCCTTGCTTTTCATGCTGCTGCTGCTGCTGCTGCTGCTGGTGCTGCTGTTGCGAGTCAGTGCCGGCGCTAACTCTCTCCGGTAGCGGCAAGGGGCTCGAGAAGAACGGATCTCCGCTCGCATAGTGCGAATCCTCGTCGTCGATTGGTACAGCGTCAGAAGCGGCGCTAGGCCCTGATTGCGCCTCGGCCGCCTCCCAGTCACCAACAGGGCTAGTAGTGATGTTGCTGTCATGATCACGGAACGCGCTGGGATCATTGGGGAATCGACTAGCGATGGGAGGTGGAGGGGAGAAGGACGAAGCCCTGGTGAGACATGGATGAGACGACATCCGAACCATTTTTCTGCCGCTGCTGCTGCTGCGATTTCGATCTGCAACGAAAGGGATGCCACTACTATCGCCCGTCGCCGCACTATCCGCGGCAGAACCTGCCACACTCGCAGTGGCGATTCGATTATCTGCTTCAAGAACGTCCGAGACAGAAAGACAACCGTTTTTCACTTGACCCGAGGTCATCAATAACGGGGATGAAAACACCCTCCGAAACCGCGTGGAGAATTCTATCGATTTAACAGCTGCGTCAGACGACTCTGGAGCTTTCGCCGGCGGCTCGCGAGCACAAGCGAAGCTGGTAACTCTGGCTGCCTTCGCGAGCGGATGCCGGGTGCAAATCTGTGTCCTCCGTCGAATCGATGTGCGATGCTGGATGATCAGGGATGCGACGACGACTGCTGACGTGGCCAAAACAGCAGCGGTTCGGCTGAAATAAAGGGACGACAAAGCAACTAGAAGGATGAAAAGAGTCTCTAATCGCCGCCAATTGTCGTCTGCTGCCATTTGCCGATAAAACTCCGCTGCTTCGGCGGCTGCGACGGCTGCAGTTTCAGCAGGCGGACTCGTCACTTCCTCAGCTAAAGTACGACTTAGCAGCGTAAAATTTCCACGCAAAGCTTCCGATACGAAACTATGGCTTCGCAGAGTAACGTCTTGCACCTCCCCGGGTACGTCTCTCGGTAGGATGATCTGGGGAGGTGACGCCACTGACACTTCGCCTTCGGGCATTGTCGCAGAAAAAAGCGAGGCGTTGGCTGCGGAAGCTACGGACCTAGCGGCACTAGCATCGATCATTCTGCGCGGCTCGATGTGCAGCGCTGCGGAGCGCGAGCTGTTCGGAGCTCTGCGATTTTCAACGCTGGAAAGAGGCGCCATGTCCGTGCAAGGGAACGACCTGAAAAGCAACCAACGCCACGAGAGGTTGAACAGACTCCCAAGGTAAAACCGCCTCTGAGGGAAACCTATACCTAGCCAAGCTAAAACTTTTCACTGTTAGAAATGGATGCGAGGCGAAACTGAATTCTGAAGCTAGAAGTAACTACTTTCAAGGCAACCCTATGAACCAACCTCGAGGAGGCTGATGGTGGAGGTCGGAGGTGAGGTGAGGTGAGTTCTTTTCTACAGCTGATGAACCTGTCAGGCGACAGAGTTGACGTGGACAGGGGGCCAGTAAACGGTGACTGGAAGGGAAGGAAAAGTGACGTCCACAGATGGACGCGGAAGGTCCACGGAAATTGTTTTCTTGAGGTTGATGTGAAGGGCGTGACCTAAGAGTTGTAGCGAGGACTTTCATCTGGAAACTGAAACACGTCAGAGGAAGATTTCGCAAGCTTGCCACCGATTGGTGCAAAACAGCTGAACGAACTCTCTCTGGTTTCTCGCGATGCCTTTTGGCGGCACAAACGAGGTTCGCGAAGACACTCGGTTTTCTTTTCCCCCTACAGCCTTGCAGCGACCATTTTTTGGCCGTTGTTGAGAATTCGTGGGTGCCCTTTTCAAATCGAACCACATCACGCGTGGGAAAGAGGTGCCAGCCAGCCAACCAGCTTCGTGTGGGTGTGCCAACCAACCAACCAGAGGCTTATGTGGATACTGTATTATCACTGACTTGTCTCGCAGTTCCTCGCTCCTCCACCTTATCACACCGCACTACTACAACAAATGGCTCATGTGTTTCCAACCTTGGAAGTTTGTAAGGATTTTTCTAGGCATTCCTTACGGAGCCTGACTACATCGCTCTAAGGATTTACAGAATCCTTACTGAGGCACTCGTTAGCGAGGCCATCCCGAGGGTCACACGACAAACCTGTCCTTCCTATTTCGTCGCACCGAACCACTCCCGAGTCGCCTCCGCTCCAATCGCAACCATCACCGAGCCATCCTCGCCCAACCTCCCCGCCTAGCTAGGACTTCCCCTATTTAGGCCTCGTCACTTCCATTGTATCAGCATTCAGTAATTCAGTACTGAA